TCGCTTGAGAAATACAGTCCAAATACACAGACATATGCGCTCATGTCACGCTATTTGCGTTGCGTTATCATGTCACTCATGGTGTCACGAGGTGGGATTGAAAGTAATTGTTTTCGTGGACACTTGCAATGTTTGCTACGCTGTCCTTAGTTTTTTATTGAATTGGCCATGAATTTACCTTCACTTTTCCGTAGTTTCGATATTGAACGCAGTGACGGCCGCTCCGCACTAACGCTCCATATTTCCGTGGCCGGCCAGTGACTATCCCCACTACGTGTCAATCCTTACCCTACCCGTGATTGTTTGCGCCTTAACCATCGGATAAAGTGAAGAACGAGAAATATTCACTTTATTAAAAACATTTTCAGTACGCGTACCCTTGAAATTCATCAAAAGTTGTACATGTGCGCGAGTTTCAGCGTTAGTTTTTAGCTTGTAAACCATATCGACGTTAATTCTGGATATCGCAGCCCTTTTATTACGTCATCACGTAATTCCAATTGGCCCTATAATTCGGTCGTGAATAAGTCAATGTCACCCCCACCACCAATAACATAATTATGTCTTTGATTTCTTTAATTTCAGTTAAAATCAGTGTCATGCACGGCTCAACTTGTGTGCAGTAGCACAATTTTGCATTCAGACAATGAGGGACAAAAGTGTTGGCACACTTCCGTAAAATGGCCCCTTTTTGCATAGTGGATATACTTATCCCATTCCCCTGTCTACCCCAACCCCTTCCCCCCCAAAATCAATGTTGAATTTTGGACCCTCAAGTCTTTTTTTTACTTCAGACAACATTGATTCGGGGGGTGAGGGGATTTACGGCGTTTAAAAAGAATGAAATAATAGATGAATTAAATGCTTGCTAAAAGCACCCGTTTTAAACAAGTGTGTCAACTACTTTTGTCCCTGATTGTAGGCCGAAACAGACAAGAAAACCAACCCCTCGTTGACCCCAGAATCCGAACCAGGTCAAGAACAGAGATGCACAGGTCCCGAGGGTAAACGACGGCAGGAGCTTTTTTTAAAAAAAATCGACAAAACTTGCACAAGCAAAATGTTTAATTTACCAGCAAAAGAAGAAATCACAATCTTGCAAATCAAACATGAAAGGAGTTAATCAGGGAGGGTTTGTTCGCTCCCCATGACTACGAGCTCCATGCCCCCATCCGTATGGAAAAGGCGTCTGAGTGGCCCTATATGTGCGTGCAAAATGGCCCAAGCGGCCACACTTGAAACATGGTCCTCGCCCAAAGGAATCCCAAGCCTTGGGGATATAGGTGTATCTTGCGGCTGATCGGGTGCCTTGTATGTAGACTTCAGAATCGAAGCGGCTTCCCCAGCGATATTTGCTGTAACAGGCTCTCCCAACAGCCCAAACAATAAACGCTGCAAGTCGGAGGAACTCAGAGCGTCACATCTTGCTCCCACTTTGTTTAGGGCTGTAAAATATTCTTTGGCCTTTTGGTGTGCTTGGGTGCGCCTGAGGCGAACTAAAGCCTGTAAAACGTCCAACACTTCTGTTAATGTATCTTCTAAAATCAGCTAAAGTACATTATGTGATCCTTGGTCCGGCTGGTTTTACTTTGTGATGGAATTTTCGGGAACAAATTAAGGTTACAATACAAGCGAACCTTTCCGAGTGTTTATTGATCTGTTTGCGTTCTTAAGGTCAATTCGAGGTTCTCTTGATGCTAGGAGAGGGTGGAAAATCAAGTTAACGTGAACGTCGGTGAATTTTGTTCTGTATTTTTTGTCTTTTTTATGGCGCCTTAAATTACTTGGATATATTTTGAATTGAACGGATATGTGATCAAGTGCGTTAAGAAAGCGTATTTTTGGTGTACATGGTGTACAAGAAATGTTCTTTCGAGTTGCAAAAAAAATTCGGTCAACAGGTTGAATTTTGGGTTAAAAACCAAAATTTTAGATAATATTCCAAAGTAAATTTGGTGTAGTAGGTCCTTGGTCCGGCCACCGGACGATAATATAAACCAGCCAAATAGTGATTGAAAAGGGAGGGCCTCAGAAAGTTCAGTTTTTGTTTCCTTTAATTCATAGTAAATTAAGATTTTTGAATTGAAGTGAGGATCTGTCAACTTTGAGTCGCATTTTAAGTAAAGCACTTAAAATGAGTGGAGTAAATAATAAAAACCGCATTATTGCAGGAGAGTTTCCCAGTAGAATTGCAGTTTATAAATTCTCGCGAAACGAGCGAGGTTAGAATTTCATCGCGTGCGAGTATGGCGTGGGCCGCACATGGTCTTAGCAGGATGCAAACTCGGTTGAGCCGTCCAGGGTTAAGGTTAGGGCCATGGTATGACTGATCAGTTACCCAGAGGTTTGATTGCTATGTTGGTTGCTAGGCAACTGTCAGGATGTTAAATTTATCTTGTAAGTGACTTTGCCCCCCCCCCCCCGTGATTCCTTCAGTGTTTGTATTTATCAGTCATTTGGACCACATATGGTGACATTTAGTTTCTTTATCAAAGGTCAGCTAGCCCACATGCAACAATTTCAAATATTGATTGCGGCCATCTTGGATTTTTTCCAAACGGGTTAGTGTACGATGTTAGGTCTATGAGAAATTTTTTCAGTCTGTATATGGTTAAATTCGACCTGGAAATGATGTTTGGCGATGTTTTGGAGTCTTGTCAAGGTCATCTACGCCATGTATGAGATTTTCAAATTTCGATGGCGGCCATCTTGGAGTTTTTCCAAGTGGGGTTAGCCTATGATTTTGGGGCTAAATACGAAATTTCTTCAAGTCTGTATGTGGTCAAAATGGACCTGGAAATGATGTTTGGGATGTTTGAAACGTTTCTGCAGTCTGGTTACCCCTCTATTGCTTTCCTGGTCCGCCCCCTAACGTTGATATTGGAATGTGAGGGTATTATTCTGAGACTTGATAGTGCAAATGCGCTACCAAAGGCCATTCAGAGGGTATCATCAAAATACCAACTGGACTCGTTGTTGCTAGGATCACGTGATTGGTGGCCTCAAGTTCATGTTCCTTAACACAAACGGGGTATCATGGGGGTGCCATCCCCACTCTGTGTTTCCAGGATTTGATGATATGGCTCCCTGGTCCCCTCCTCCCATTTCCTTTTTTTGTTGTTTGTTTTCAAATTTTTTTCTGTTTCCTATACATGTCACTGAACCGTTACCATGGGGGCGCCATTCCCACTCTGTGTTGGCTGGATTTGATGACATGGCTCCATGGTCCCCCCAGTCCTTTTTTTTGCTTTTTTTGTTTAATTTTTTTTTTCATTTTCTTCTCTATGTCACTGATTCGTTGCCATAACCATCATTCTTCAAACTCTAAACTTCAACAGCAACCTCGTCCTCCCTGTTATGTTTTCGTCAACCTTTTTTTCAGACCCGTCAACAAGGGAAACTTTACTAGAAGCAGGTCTCTTACAAGCGTGAACTCGTGAAAGGTCAGTCTCTGGTCTTGGTTGACCTGGAAGAGCAACTTTTCAACACCCACGTACGGTTTACATTTTTTTACTTTTTCAATGTCTTCAAAGGTGATGAGTGTATCACATTCCTGGATATACCCCCTTCATTGGCGATCTTGGGTTGTGGCATCCACTGTCTCTCTCCAACTCTTGAGTGCAGGAATTAGGTGTCCAAACCACACCTTGTAGTTCGGATGCAGAGAAGGCATAGATCTGGAATCATACTTCTTGGATGTAACAAATGTTATGAACTTTTGCAGACTTGTAAGGTATGATATGAGGGTGCCAGGTGCCTTACTCTCCTCTTTCAGGTGAGGGTTGACCCATCTTGTCCACACAGCATCCTCTTGGTCTTCACCGAATACCAAGATGTTTTCCTCCTCCTTATCTGGGGCCTCAAGTAGTGTTTTAACTTGACTTACGAGCTGGATTCTGTTAACTTCTTTCTTGTAGCCAGCATCCGGTAAGCCCAGGTTCCTATAAAATCCTCGGAGCCACTGTTGTCTGTAGTTGTTGTACTTGGTGAGTGTGTAGTACTCCAGGACACTGTTAAATGTTGTTTTGTCTTTCTCATGGCTATCATCATCAAATTCTTCATTTGGCTGATCAGATTAGTCTGTTTGCTGCTGACTTTCTCCGTCCTCTTCATCTTAATCTTCGTCTTTTTTTTGCAGTTTTCAAGTTGTGCAACTTCAACCTCTGCGGCTTGAACCTTTGCAGGTTCAGCAGCCTCAACGTCTGCAGCCTCAAGCTCAATTCCTGTATCTTCTACGCTCTCTTCTTGGATATCCACTAGGAGATCTACTTCTGCTGTGCCGCTGTAAGCCCTCGCTGACTTCAGCATGACCCTATACTGGAACGAGTCTCTTTTCATCTTATGAACATTCCTCAGATGTTAGTCGAGGTAACTTACAACGGCTGTACAATTTGCCACAGGGCACCACTTTTTTCTTCTCATTGCGCTGGATGTTATCTTGCTATTGGGTTTAAAGGAAGGCCCCTTTTGCCTTTTTCCATGTTTACACACTTCTGCCTTGGCATATACATTCTCTGTCTTCAATTCGCCTTCCCTGACATATACTTTAAGATGTCGCTTGATGTCCAGCACAGTAAATTAACAGCCTAGTACTTAACAACGCACACTGCGGTGGTGGCTGTGCTTTTTCCCTTTTGGTTTCTCAGCAACCTTGATACTTTTGTTCTGTGGTTCATCATCATCCTCTTTTGTGGCGTGGGAGGAATGATGTCGTCATCATCGTCCAAAGCGTCATAAAAGGCTTCATTAATTGATTGTCGGAACTGGTTGCAGTTCATTTCTCCGGGAAATGTGTCACATGTTAGTACATCCATGTCCTGTAGGATTTCTTCCTTTGTGACTAAATAGTCTTGTTCTTCAAAAGGTTTTCTCATATACTTCATGGCGTTTCTAGTGACTTCTTGTAGCTTGTGTAGCTGAAGCTTTTTGGCAGCCAGAAATGTACTAAACATTTTGTGATAATCTATTTTTGTTGAGTGCCATGCGGGTATCAACTCCGATTTGTGTGTCACTTATGAATCAGTCACCTGAAGGTATTCCAAAGCGTGTTCATCCCCCTTCAAACCTCTTTTAATCATTTCTTTGACAAAGGTGGCCTTTTCCCCAGAACCATATGGCTTGACACCAGACGTTCTGTGTTCGTTCCTGAGTGACATATTTAATGACATAAATAGCCTATTTGCTTGATGACGTCACATGCGCTGTGCATTATGGTTGTAGTAGTAAAGGCCGCGAAAGATTAAAAAATGGCGGCAACTGATGGGAAAAGTCATCACAACAGGGACATTCAAGTCCACCCAAAGTCCGAAAATTTCAAGAGGAAAAATGTTTTGACTGAGGACGATGTCCCAGGGGCAGCGTTGATAAGTAAGGATCCTCAAATCTTTCATAATGAACAACTTAAAGTGTCGGGGTGCTAGTGCGGGTGGGAGTCAAAGAGAATTACTGGCAAGGTTTGTAGTTCTACCAGTATTTTATGAATTAAAGCGATTTTTTTAGGCTCCAGCTGTGTCTTTGACTTTAATAGAATAAGAGATTATCAAATATCTGGCCAGGACAAGAAAATCGTCGATCCAGATGGACGAATACATCTTCGTAGACTTCGACTTTAGCGTGGGCTGCGATCACAATAAACCAGCGATAATCTTCCCAAGAGAGTTACATGGCCCAGGGATAGTTGACTAGAAACAAACAATATAGGACGAGCAAACGGCTCAGGTGAAGTTTGGGGCCTGTAACTGTAAAGCAGGAGCTAATGGTCGATGTAAGCATATTGGTGCATTGCTGTACAAAAAACGCGATTTGACTGAAAGCGAAGTGGATGAAATAACACCAGACCTTGCGTGCTCTGAAAGACCACAACAGTGGCACATACCTTGCTCTAATTCTTTACAGGACGAACTAGTTCTATTGGATGAATTGCAATGAGATCGATAAAAAGAGGAAGAAAAACGAGGTAAGGACTCAGAGAAAAGTGGAAAAGCAAATGTACGACGCTGCACCCTCTTTTGCCAGAAAAATCAATGAACATCAAATAAAACAGTTTTCTGAGGACTTGAAAGTAGCAAAAACAAAGAACCGACGAATGCTTATTGACTTGTTGGAAGGGAATGAATGCAAGCCCATTGTCACTCAAGACAGCACTTAGGGAAAATCGAGACAACATTCAGAAGGATCATGATTATTGTTGTCTTTGAAGATGAAATGGGGGATGCAGATGGTAGCATTGATATTCCTTGCAAAATCATTAAAAAGGAAAGCGTTATTGAGCCACTCGATACAAATTTTGACAATCGATTTTGGTTGTCTCATCGTGAAGCTGTCCAAGTTGATGTTCCTGACAGTGAGCGATGTGTTACTGAAGATGACAACCAAGAATGCGCACAATCCCTTCCGCCCGAGAACCCGTGTATAAACACGAGTTTCTCTCACATTGAAAAACATTTAATTTCTGAGTGGAATTTTCCCGAATCTTATTCTGATGATTATGATATAAATGAAGAAAATTTCAGAAAGGTGTGCACTGACTTTCTTGGAAAACTTAGTATAACTGGGAATGAAATAGCTGAGATAAGATACAAACAAGGGGTCAGTCTGAAAATACACAGTGGCTTAAATATGGATGTGCATGAGTAATAGTATCCAAGTTTGGGGAAATTAAAAACTGAAGATCTACCACTGCACCTAGTGTCTCCTTGTATTTCCTCTTCTTTGTGGCGAACAAGTAGTCTTCTTCGTGTTTTCATCACTTCAGCTTGAGACTTTTGTAGAGGAAATACAGTTGGCACGTCGTTTTGATAGGTTTTGGAGCCCCCTTCGAAGTGAGCACGGCTCACACGATGACCAGTAGTTGGACGAAAATCTTTTCTGGAGATGTTATGAAGCCATTGCCTTCTTAAATTTTGGTCACCTGGGAAATTATAAAATGAAAACTTCCCTTTATGTTTCTCCGAATTGTTGTAGCAGCCCGAGACACAGGAAGTAAATGCTCCAGCTTCGCTACTTGAGAGACGCCATTTTTAAAACCTCTTCACTACTATAATCATAATGCACGGCGCGTGTGACGTCAGCATGCAAATGGACTATTTACCAACTTTTGACCTAAATAGGGTGCTAACTAGTCATTGCGCAAGTCGCCTTCTTATGGACGTTCAGCACACTCTAAAAGAAAAACAAATCGGAGGGCCCCTCCTATGCATCAAAAGACAGCCCCTGAGTGTTAAAATCTACCATGTAAGTTTGAAGCCAAAAAATGAAATCCCTTAGGAGATATTAAAGGTCAACGTTTGTCCTCGTTGTGATGTAAAAGGCTTACAAACGCATTGGTAGCTAGTAGTTTTGGTCCGCCATATTGGAAAAAACTTTTACCCTTACCAACTCTAAGAGGATGTAAGTAGGTTACTCAGAGGGCTACATTACTGACTCATTTTCTGAGTGTCCAGTACAAAACATTAGCTGTTATTAACGTGGGAATTTTGACGTTAAATGACGTCATAGCTCATCACTAAGTGAATGGATTGTGACAAGATTTGGTACCAAAGCACTCTTTACACCGTCTTCTATCTGGTTAATGCAGCATTGGAACCTCAGAGTACATTAAACACTCAATATGGAGACTGCGCACAAGCAGCTGTATCATGGCAAAAAAATGCATTCTGAAGTTGCTTGATCACCTTCTAAACCCGACCTGATTGTTGAATTACCTCTGCGTAGTCTTGCAAAGGTGCAGAAAGATGCTATTTAGAGAGCCCAAAAGACGTCTTTTCACCTAATGAAGACTCGCTGGGATATGATGTCGTGTATGTTTCACCAAATGTTATAAGGAGACTATATGTTCCGGTATAAGGTCAAATTTAAAGAATTCATAAAAAAATTACTATTCAACAAATAACAACGTGTAAGGTATCGTTAAAAAGCTTATACTGTGTACTTTCCAAACATGTCATTGCTTTTGCAAAAGATGATATCTTAAATTTATTTACGGGGTCCCAAAGTAAGGTAACCCTTACCAAGAAAATGACTTTATTTTTGCCCACATATCAACCTTTTTAAACACTTTAAACATTCTGAGAGTCACCTAGTGGCAAAAAACTTTGTACTTCCTACATCCACAACTAATGAGATTGCCTCAGGTCAAAGTTCAGGTGATTTAAACACCTTCAGAGTCCACAAGGCGCGATAAGGGGAGTGGACTGTGAAAAAGTGAGTGTATTTTTCCTCATATAAAAACTCAAAAATTCTAAGAGTCATCTAGTGGCAATAATCTTTGTATTTCCTACATCTACATCTACAACTAATGAGATTGCCTCAGGCCAAAGTTCAGGTCATTTCTGTAAATCTGTAGTGCTCAGGGTCCAAACACCAGAGTGAAATAAACTCAAAATGGCATTATAAAAAAATCTAGAAAAATATTTGGCTTTAAAGTAAGCCGACGTTTTAGTAAAAATAACAAGGATTCAACAAAGGTCAACTTTGGCCAAACATATTATAAACGCAATTTGACAAAAAAAATATGAAACCTTTCAGAAAGTTAGAAACAGTATGAAACAATTTTGTTTGAAGTATAAACATAAAACCCTGAATTTTGACGAATTTTTCCCTGAAAACACTTTTTCGGACGAAAAATGAGGATATGCCACCTGTGATTTCCTTTGTAATTATTTTACAAAAACTGGAAAGGCAACTCGTAACGAAAAGTATACCATCGTGTGGCTCTTTTAACGGGCATTCTGGCAATATAGTATATTACTCCTGAATGTGAAATAAGAAGGCAGAAAGAAGTCAAATTTCCCCCTGAACCTAAGAAACAGCCCCTGTTGACCTGAAAAAATTGTCATTACATCCACATAACGTCACTTTTAGATATGAGTGATAAAATATACTAGTTAACAATCTGGCCAAGTTTCAAGCCGAGCTCACTAGTTTTTTGGCAAATGAGTAAAGTGTTTCATCGGTCATTCTTAACTCTCCATATGTCTCGTGCGTAGTATAGTACATATACCCCTACGGCGTCTTGTTGGAAAGGTGAAAACTCGGGGAAAAAATTTGGGTGAATCAACGGTCTTCTGATGGTGACTTTTAGAATGCTTTTTCCGTTGTACATGCCAAATCTAAGGAAAACCGGCTCAAATTTGTGTGATTTTCCCGCTTTTGAGGACTTGCCCACATCAAAACCTTTGAAAGGTTGTAACGCCTGTGAACCTGCGTTATATGGCTCCAAATTTTGCAGATATGAAGAAGATAACCCAATATACTGCCAAATCAATTTTAGGCTAATGACAACTTTTCTAGCTAATTTTTGCTTCATTTGAAAATTATAGGGCTATAAGAGGGCATAT